CAGCGCGAGCCGAAGGACAGCAAATGTTGTTCCGCCCCTAACGACTCTCCTCCGAGGCGATTTGCCTCGACTTGGTGGTGATCCTCCCCTGCCTCTTATTGCGGCGCTGGCGCAGGCGCCCCGCACAGCCTGCGGCTGAGGACGCCAGCGCAGCCGCCTGGGTCTTGCTGCTGCTTCTCGTCGTCATCGTCCTCCTCGGCCTCCTCCTGTTCCTGTTTCTCCACTTCCCCCTTCTCCTCGTCATCCTCATCGACCCCCCAACCTCGTTCTCCTGATTGTCGTCGTCCTCCTACTGCTCCTCCTCATCCTGTTCCTCGTCCTCCATCCTCTGCGTCCTGCTCCTCCACCTTTTGTCAAGTTGCACGTTGCGGCTTCACTGGATGACGACCCCCCGCGAGCTGGGCCAGCTCGACTACGGGCAATGTGGGTCCTGCATATTCGTGCCGTCCTATACTCAACTTCCCCAGTACCCACAAGATGGTTTTGCGGAGGCCTCGCGGCGTCATCGGAATCGACCCTCCCCTTGTGCGCACCGCCTTGATGGGCGCGTAAATGCAACCCGCAGTGTCCGAATATGAACGGGCATGGTAAGTGGACCGAACCAGCGGCGCTACTGCACACCCCCCGGCGCACGACCTCCATTTGCCCAGTGATTGCCCCGACCTTGAATGCCAACCGCGGTGGACGCTTGGGACCTCCTTGCTCTCCCAGGGTGGTGGCACCAGGAAGCTGGGCCGACCGGCGGGATTAAGACCGCACTTAAAGTCACATCCTTCTGTTCCTGTTCCTCATCCTCCTCGTCCTCCTCGTCCTCATCCTGGTCCCCCTCATCCTCATCCTCGTCCTCGTCCTCCTCGTCCTCATCCTCGTCCCCCTCATCCTCATCCTCGTCCCCCTCATCCTCGTCCTCGTCCCCCTCATCCTCGTCCTCGTCCTCCTCGTCCTCCCGTTCCTCAGCCCCCTCTTCCTGCTGCTCCTCCCATTTCCTTCAGATCACCCTCGGAGGTCCGCGCCCGCTCACTCTTGGAGCGACGCCGCACTCCCCTGGCGGCGCGCCGTCATTGGCGCGGTCCTGGTCGTCTTCCTCCTCCATGCCCCCTTTCTCTCCGCCCTTGTCCTCGCCATCTCTGGATTCCCTTCGAGGGTCGTCCGTCAAAAGCGGGGCGATGCCGAGAAGATCAGCATGGCCCTTGCGCAGGGATGGCACGCACAGCTCGAGAAGTGCATAGTCCGATGCGGAGGGTTTCTCTGAAGGGCTTCCGCGATCTGTCCTCCTCCTCCTCCTCCTCCCTCCCCTCCTCCTCCTCCTCCTCCGCCGCCTCCGCCGCCTCCTCCTCCTCCTCCTCCATCTCATCCTCCCCCTCCCCCTCCTCCTCCTCCTCCTCCTCCTCCTCCTCCTCCTCCTCCTCCTCCTCCTCCTCCTCCTCCCCGGGTCGCCTACGGCCACGGGGGAAACCGTGCACTCCGCCCCCTTTCAATGCGATGCGCGGTTCGTGGATTGGGCCCGCGTTCCCGCTTCGATTCGGCCAGATTCGCCAGCATCTCGGCACAACTTCTGCAAGGACCGGACACAGTCCGACCAGACGAATCATATTATTCAGAGGCAGCGATAAGAGGGGGAAATGGGCATAGGGAGGACGCATCGACCCGCAATCGCCCGGTGATCGCCGATAGGGGCCCGATAGCCCCAACGTGCCAAGGAACGTGCGGATTCACGATCGGGGGCATATCGACGATGTATCGGCGATATATCGCCGATTCAAGGTCGATGTGTCCCCCCCTATGCTAGTCCCATAGTAGACAGAGTGAGGGTGCCGAACGGTCATTCTTAATCCCTGGGCGTGGCAGAGATGGCGTTCCGATTATGCTTGTTGTGTTGCTGCGTTGTCATCGCCCTCGCCCGCGACCCGCCCGCGATCCACCCGCGACCCACCCCGCGACCCACCCCGCGACCCACCCGCGACTTCCCCGTGCCCGCCCCCTCACTCTGGTCCGCACTTGCGGGATGCTCAGTGTTTGTGCTGAGTTCTAGTGGAGGGCGGTGAGGAGCGGGCCAGGGCCAGCTGGAGCCGGGCGCGGCGATCCGATCTCGATTCGATTCGGGGCGGTTCGGTGGCGAGCTGATCCGTGTCAGATCCGATCCAGCTTCGCGACTCGATCCAGCCCAGGCCTGCCTTTCCCCTCCCATTCCTCATCTTCATTTTTATGTCCACCTTCCCACAGCCAATGGCTCGCTGGAAGCCGATGTTTCTGGAATTTCTCGTTCAAGTCTACAGTAGATGCCCAGTTATTTCAGTAATCGAACGGCGTTCCCTCGATCCCTATTCCTTCCTCTTCAGGAGGCGGGCAGAATCCCAATCCATGTTCTCATGATTTCACCCACTTTAGCCGAACGATGGGTAGAGTAAAGACGCTGATAAGGAACCGATTGGAGTTCTGCATGAGACCGCTGTTGCTCAGGTCTCACATGGTTGTTCCATTCGCGTTCCTCATGCACCCAGGCGCTTTCGGGGCCAATGATGAGTTTCGCTCTTTGTTTAGCCTCGTTGTGGTAGCCCGATGACTGCAGGAGCCGCGCGTCATGGAGACAGAGGAGGTGCAGGAGCTTGTCTCTGGGAAGCGCGTGCTCCACGTCAAGGGCTTCGGCGTCGGCTTCAAGGACCCCGTTTCCGCGGAGCTAATGGCCGTGCAGCAGCAGCAGGACCAGATCGCCGTCCAGGCTATCAATCGGTTCCGCCCGGATTTCTTGGTTGTCGACGGGGATCCTTTCGGCAGCGGTTTCCAGCGGTACATCAAGGTCTATGTGGACAGGCAGGTCGAAGCCGGGCTGGCGGTGCCGAAGCTCGTCTGGGTGAAGAGCGTGAAGGGGAGCTCGCCCAGCCCCGAAGAGCTGGATAGAAACAAGAAGAAGGCCCGCGAGTGGGCCGACCAGGGGCTCCACGTGGTTGTCTCGTGGCTGCCAGAGGCTGCCATCGCGAAGGGCGTGGACCGGCTGTTCGGGGAGGGCTGCTGGGAGAAGCTGCAGGGGCACAAGTTCGATTTCAGGGGTGCCGTGCGGCTGCTGGAGCAGGCCGAGCCCGAGAGGCCCGAGTGGCTCCGCGGGCTGACCGACACCGCCTCTGGGGGCACTCGAGGGCGAGGAAATGGCAGAGGCAAGATTTGTCAGACATCCGCGCGGGATCAGACGGGTCGGCGCTGGGTCCCGCTGGCGACGCCTCTGGCGCCGCCGCTGGCGCACTGCGCGCGCCAGGGAGGGGGGCCGAGCGCTGATCTGATGAATCTTCGCGGACCTCCGAAAGTTGATGCTCATGCCGCCTCCTGTCCCTCCAGGCACGATGTACGAGGCTATCGAGGCCGTGGAGGGCAGCACGTGCAATCGGTATTTCGAGAAGTGCAGCTTTGAGAACGCCGCGAAGGGCAACGCGATCTACCAGCACCTGCGGGGCGAGGGCCGCGAGCCCGCCGCGCAGGGGGCCGTGAGCTTCGGAGGCGGCGAGAGCGTGCTGCTGGAGTTCGCGACCCTCTACCTCTTCCCAGGTTCCCACGGTCAGGAACTTGTGCTTAGCGCGTCGCGCCGCTGGTCCTGGCCCTGCGCGCTTCGGCACAGCACACCAGCCGCATCGTGGCCCCCGAGCGTCAATGTCCCGAGCCGTCCCCAGCCTCCAGCCCCGCATTGCAGAGCGGCACGCTATCCGCTTGAAGGGCGCTTAGCGTGTCGCCGGGGCCGCCGCCGCGACACGCTGAGGCAAGGTCCGCGACCCTCAACCTCTTCCGAGGGGGTCATAGTCGAGGTGTTTGCCATGCGAGTGAATTTGCTTGACAGAGTCTGACTAAAGACAGGGCCGCGAAGATAAGCCGCGCCTCGCGTTGCGAGGCCTGGGCCGCAGAGCTGCCCTTCTCCAGGGCGTCGGCGCGAGGGCGCGAAGGTAACCGCAGTGACTCAGGCCGGAGAAGAAATACGACAGAACAATACAGTAGCAAAACGCACGTTCTGAGGTCCGCTCGGATCTCCTGGATCGGCGCTGGACCCCCCTCCATGGCACGCGGAGCGCGCCAGGGGCGGCGCTGGAGGCGCCGCCAGGGGCCCCGGCGCCGACCCAGGAGACCCTGCGCGGAGCTCTGAAAGTGCACGCGGACGGTCAGGAACTCTGGCCGAGCGCGGCGGGATGCCGCTGCTGGCCCACCGCGCTTCGGCGCGACACGCTACAGTCCACCCGCACAGTAAGGATGGGCAACCTTCCCAAGGGTACCCTTGCATCCTTGCCTCGTCGGTTCATCCTTGGCCACTTCCGTTTTGGCCGCGCCCCGCTCGAAGAGCTTCGAAATGGGCCTCCGAGGCCCTTTGCATCCTTCTCGCGCATGCTTCTGATACGGGCCGACTGCAATCACGTCCCTGTCCCTGAGCGTCAGCGTCTGGAGCCTGTCCCGGCCTCCCGCCCCGCACGGCGGAGCGACGCGCAGTCTGCTGGCAGGGCCTGGCGTGTCGCCGAGGCCTCCGCCGCGACGCGCCGAGCTGAAGCCTCCGACCGCAGGTCGCCTCAGAGGGCCGAGAAGAAGAGACGCGCCTCGTGCGGCGTGGCCTGGGCCGCAGGCCTGCGCCTCGTCAGGGCGTCGGCGCGAGGGCGCGAAGGTAACCGCGCATCGCGTGGGTTCCCGGGACGGCCCCCAGGAGGGCCCCAAGGAGGAACCTCCGTAGCCATTTTGGCTCAAGCTTGCCCCCCAGAGACGGGGCTCCGGCACTTGCGGGCGGTCGGCGCCGATGTCGGCGACGGCAGCAGCATGCAGCAACGGTTTGACAACGACTCTCCCTGCCCTCTCCATAGACTTGGACGAGGTGGCATCAGAGGATGGCGCAGCGGACCATCGTGCGCGCGATTCTGTGACACGGTCGTCGACTGGTAGATCGGCGGCGACATCGCCCCCCAGTATCATCGGCGTTCCCACTAGCACCCCGACCAGCGCTTCCACTAGCAGCTCGATCAGGGGGCACTTCTCGCTAGAGCCAGAGGTGTGCATGCGGGCTGTGCCCGTTCGTGCCTTGCTGGCTGGCTTCGGGCAGGTGTGGTCACCCTGCTGGACCTCTACGCAGCAGGTGCGAACGTCCTCGCGCGGGAAGCAGCAGTGGTTTCCGACAGCAGAGTACGACGTCTTCGTGTCGCACAATTGGGGTGCAGGTAGGCTCGAAAAACACCTTGCTTTGCTGTTGACCTTTAATGGCCGTGCCGCGTTGGCCATCGGCATCACAATCGGGCCACTTGTAGGTTTCTGCGAGGTCTACTTCTCGTTCCCAGAGGTGACGGACTGGAGCGACGAGATGATTGTGAATGGGGAAAAAGACTACACAAAGTTCAGATGGTGGGCGGAAATTGTTGGATTTGTGGTGTTCATGTCCTTCCTATGGTTTGGGCATCTGGCCGAGGGATTGTGCCGTCGCCGGCAGGCGGTGTTCTTGGACAAGCTGTGCATCGACCAGGAAAACCCCCATATGAAGCAGGCGGACATTCGGCGTTTGCCATCCTACCTCAACTCCACGCACACGTTGCTCATGGTCTGGTCGGATGAATTCTTGTCCCGGCTCTGGTGCGTCCTGGAGCTTGCGACATGGGTGCACCTCAAGAAGACGAACATGTTCATTGTGCCCGTGATGACCGCGCAGATCGTCTGCGGGTATTTTTTCTGCATGCAGCTCACGGGTCTAATGAGCTCAGTCTTGCAGTACCACGGCGAAGCTCGACTCTGGATCTACCTGGTCGTGGGCCCAATGTTTGTTGTCTGTGTCATCGCACAGGTGCTGCTCCGAAGACGACTGAGGTCCCGTCTCGCATTGGACAGGCAGCTAAAGTCATTCGATTGCCGGAAGGCCCAGTGCACCGATGAGAACGACCAGGAAATGATATTGGAGCAGATTCACCGCTGGTTCGCTCAAGCCGGGATGACAGCGGCGGGCACGCAGAGTAGTGTTGACGATACGGAGGCGGCCCACATGCGTTTCAACAAGATGGTGCGTACTCAGGTGTACAAGGAGTTGCTCTTGGTATGCGGGGACGCGGCGAGCTTGCCTTACGACTGGGTGTTACTTGCGTGCCTCTGGCACTGGTGGCGTTGGTGCGACATCACCGCGTCCGCGGCCGAGGGCTCGCTTCCCTTGGGCAACGTCATCAACATCGCCCTCCACGGTTGCTGCGTAACGTTTTTCTATTCGCCGTTATTGCTGCAGGCGTTCCTATGGTGCATTGCGTGGACCGCAACGTGGGACCTCAGCAGGCTCAATGTGGGCGTGTGCATGTTTGCTGTCTCCGTGGTGATCTGCGCCTTGATCGTCGCGACGGATAAGCTTGCGGACAAGATCCTGAACGTGGATAGTTGGTTCATCACAATCGTTGCTGACACCGCCCTCCTGCTCATCACAGTGGTACTGTATTCTTCACGCATGAGGTGGCTTATGCGGAGTTGGTTCTTGAGATGCCGTGCCGCAGGTGATACCTTTGACTAGCTGGCAAGGCAGTAGCAGCCTGCAGCGTAGCCTTAGATGACATTTATAACGCTGGTGGCGTCGTCTCTTGCGTTCTCAAGATTGGCGTGCTTTGCCGTTTTGAGCGCCGTTTTTGCTGCGCTGTCAGCGCGTGCCCGAGTTGCTCGTTTTACTTTCGTTTCCAGTGCGCCTGTGCACATCTTGCGTTAGGTCTCACAGAGCCGCTTTTTCGACATTCACATGCCAGGGTGTCCTTTGCTTGAATGGTTTGGTTGAGTCAAGATCGAAAAGTGGAACACGGACAACAAATCAGCGAAGAGCGTAGCCCGATCTGCCTGACATTGGCAGCACAGGCCAGCGGCAGCCTGTACGTTCACACATTGTCTTTGCATGCGCGCGCGAGGCCGCACATGGCCCGATGGTCACTCAGTGCCAGCTGGATTATATCGCTCAATGCCGCGTAGAACGCGTCAGCAATCAGAGGCGCTAGTCTTGCATGTCCAGAGCCCTGCTGATGCGGCGGCTCCTCACGAGAGTTCACGGCAGTGGTTGGCTGTGCTTCTGGTATTGGTGGCTAGGGAGGGCAAGGAGGAGGGATCAAGAGGTCTTGCATTCGCAATCCTTAGGGTGCGACGCCACCCCCTGTCATCCTGTCATCTGCGCTCTCCGTATAAGAGCGAGAGACCGATGGACTCGTTCTCACTTGCTCATGGTTGGTGCGTTCGGCGAGCTTGGGATCTGCACCCTGATTCGTCCAGTGCCCAGCGCACGCTGGTCAGTCTGCAGCCCTAGGTTCGCTTAGAGAGTCATCGATCGTATGTGGATGCCATCTACTGCACACGTGGCGTTCCTGCCGCAGGATGAGAATGACGACACAGACTGGAGGCTGAGGAGTACGGCTTCCTAAAGTTAGCCATGATTCCGTGCCCTTCCTCCTCTTCCTCCTCCTCCTCCTCCTCCTCCTCCTCCTGCCCCCCCTCCTCCTCATCCCCCTCCTCCTCCTCCTCCTCCTCATCTTCCTCCTCCTCCGCCTCCTCCTCCTCCGCCTCCTCCTCCTCCTACTCCTCCGAGTTCGCAGTGCTGCCCTTGCGCCCCGCGCTCTGTCTCTCCAGCTTTGTATGCGTGCCTCCCCCTCGGAAGGCCGCACACGCATGTCCGTCGCATTATCCCGCCTGTTGTTTCCGCTGAGACGGCGAAAGCGGCGAACCTGCCAGGATCTGCAGCAGATGCCGCAGTGGCAGAGGACATAGGTTGCATGCCTACTAGATGTCTCAGTTGAGCGACGGACGAAGATGGGGTCGGCTGCGCCGGCATTCGTGCGCAAGCTGCCCGCATAAGGTCGCGCGTAACGTCAGCGCCCTCGTTTCCACTGCAGCGTGGCGCGCTGGCGGTCCGCGTGAGCCACTGCTCAAGGTCGCATGCCACATCTCTCAAGACCCGTCTCTCGTGGGGCCGCGGTCCTGCCCTGCCCTGCACCCCGCAGCAGGCATCCCGACTCGGCGCTTGATGCCGCGGGGCCTCATCTTGCGGGCCCACGCGCAGGCTTCCCGTTGGCCACCCTGCAGCAGGAGAGAGTGCGACGGGGACGTCGGCGCCTGCTGTGCTGGCCTCCTCCTCCTCCTCCTCCTCCTCCTCCTCCTCCTCCCCCCTCGTCCTCCTCCTCCTCCTCCTCCTCCTCTTCCTCCTCCTCCTCCTCCTCCTGCTCCTCCTCCTCCTCCTCCTCCTCCTCCTCCCCTTATGCAAGCCCCCCTCGCGATGGGATATCCATCCTGAAATAGTCTCGCACCGTATTCGTTTCCATTGCTGCTATGCCTTTTTTTTAATGGCTCTGCATCGTGGTTTTTTTTCGGAGCTTCAGGCTAAAGTGCCGCCTGCTTTCCTCCTCCTTCACGCAAGTCCATGTCTCGCGAAGAAATAAAGAGGGCCTCAAGGAACCCAAAAGACTGCCGCAGAAGAGCCCAAGAAAACCCGAAGGCGGCCCCACCGAGTTCCATGATAGCTTCTCAAGTGGTGGAGACGAAGAGGCGTCACGTGTGACGGCCTCGTTGTTTTTTGCCCTTGTTCTTGCGCCTCCTCCTCCTCCTCCTCCTCCTCCTCCTCCTTTGCCACCGCCATCATCACCGGCAGCACAATCACCATCATCCGATGTGCGCAGACAGGCCGCTCAGGGCGACGCAGAAGGAGGCATCGGCAGAAACCTTCGGAGGCCCGCAATAGGTGTCTTGGCTCGGCGCTGGGTTCGCCTCCCTGAGGCGCTTGAGCACGCCAGGAGCGGCGCGGAGGCGCCGCCAGAGGACCCAGCGCCGAGCCAAGACTTAAGTTGGGCCTGCCCCTCTACAGGAGGAGTATTCAAAAGTACCCTGGCGACGTACCCAACCCCTGCGCAAACGCGGGGCGCAAATAGTTTAGGACACTTTATAAAAGGGGGCGATGACGGAGCGAGGGTTACATATGTATGCAGACGGAATTCGGGAGACTCGCAGGACACTGGCTACAGGACAAGGACTAGATAAAGCTGATTGGTTACGATCCCTGAGCACCCCTAGCCACTTCGAAAGCGGGGATCTCACATCGCAGCCCCCGAGAGATGGCGAGGTCTAACTTGAGTCTGCGGCGAGGTCCCAGAAACAATAACGGTCCGAGGATGATGTGATCGAGGGCCTGAGAGCAATTCACGACGACGATGACGACGACGACGGCGGCGACGACGCCGACGACGTCCCAGGCAAGCGGCGAACGTCCTGCTCCTCATTCGCCTCCTCTTCCTCCTCCTCCTCCGACTCCGCCGCCTCCTCCTGACCCGCAGCCCCTCCGGTCCAAGGATACGAACGTTTATTGTGGATCCGCGTAGCGCGTCGCTGTGCTGGGCCCCCCAGCAGGCCTCGAAAGTGGCGACAGTTTCACAGATCGCAGCCCCCAAGGGATGGCGAGGTCTAATTTGGGTCTGCGTGTGGCCTCACTGTGCTGGGCCGCCCAGCAGGCCTCGAAAGTGGCGACAGTTTCACAGATCGCAGCCCCCCAGGGATGGCGAGGTCTAGTGGGTCCGCGCGTGGCGTCACTGTGCTGGGCCCCCCAGCAGGCCTCGAAAGTGGCGACAGTTTCACAGATCGCAGCCCCCCAGGGACGGCGAAGTCTAATTCGGGTCCGCGCGTGGCGTCGCTGTGCTGGGCCCCCCAGCAGGCCTCGAAAGTGGCGACAGTTTCACAGATCGCAGCCCCCAGGGATGGCGAGGTCTAATTTGGGTCCGCGCGTGGCGTCACTGTGCTGAGCCCCCCAGCAGGCTTCGAGAGTGGCGACAGTTTCACAGATCGCAGCCCCCCAGGGATGGCGAGGTCTAATTTGGGTCCGCGCGTTGCGTCATTGTGCTGGGCCCCCGAGCAGGCCTCGAAAATGGCGACAGTTTCACAGATCGCGGCCCCCCAGGGATGGCGAGGTCTATTTTGGGTCCGCGCGTGGCGTCACTGCGCTGGGCCCCCCAGCAGGCCTCGAAAGTGGCGACAGTTTCACAGATCGCAGCCCCCCAGGGATGGCGAGGTCTAGTTTTGGTCCGCGCGTGGCGTCAGTGTGCTGGGCCCCCCAGCAGGCCTCGAAAGTGGCGACAGTTTCAAAGGTCGCAGCCCCCCAGGGATGGCGAGGTCTAATTCGGGTCCGCGCGTGGCGTCGCTGTGCTGGCCCCCCAGCAGGCCTCGAAAGTGGCGACAGTTTCAAAGATCGCAGCCCCCCAGGGATGGCGAGGTCTAATTTGGGTCCGCGCGTGGCGTCACTGTGCTGGGCCCCCCAGCAGGCCTCGAAAGTGGCCCAGAGCCGGTCAATATGGAACGATTTGGCGATCGCAAACTCGCCGATAGTTCAGGGTTGACCACGCAGTGTTGGAAACCAACGCCAGGGTCGTGACGAGACGAGTTTGCCGTACCCGTAGATCCGACGTTGCGGAAAAATGCAACATCTCGAAAACCTGCCACCAGAGCCTTGGACCCCATCTCTTTGCGGCACTTCTCGATCTGGGTCGATCTGTGATCCTTGGGCCCGACTTTGGACGAAAACGCCCGGTCGCGCTTGTGTCGTCGGGCGGGGCTAGGACGAGGACAAATCCATTCCAGAGCGTCCGTTTCGTGACGCCCTGGACAGGCCGCTGCGCCCGAGGCATCCTCCCGAGCCGCGGGATCTCAGAGATTCTCTCTTTCTCTTCGTCGGAGTTGACCCTCGTCCTGGCCTCGTCTTGTGCCTTCTGCTCGTCCTCTGCCAGAGGTTCCGGCTTCGACGCGGGCCAGGCCGCGCTCTTCCCGTTCCGCCGCGGCAGGCCCGGCGACCCTGCGCTCCCCGCGCACCAGGGCCACGTTTTCCGGTCGGAGAAGCAGCTCAGCCCGGAGGAGCCGTGGCGGCATGCCGAACAAACGTCCGCGCCGTCGGCCCAGACCCCCTCGGCTCAGGAAGAAGTCGAGTCAGAGGTTTTCTTCTGCCATGTGATCGTTTTTTGTTCATGGTGTGTTGCCGATCGGCGCGGGCACCCCCCCCCATGGAGTGGATCTTGGCTGTTTTTTGGCGCCTGTTTCGAGCAAGCGGAGCCTCCCCCAGAATGGACGCCCTGTTGCAAACAGTCGCGTTATGCAGAGGCCCGGAGCCAGACCCCCCCCCCCCATTCCGCCCGATGCCGAAACGCCGAATAAAAAAACGCTCACCAGACCCTCTCGGCTCAGAAAGAAATCGAGTCAGATGTTTTCTGCCACCGTCGGCCTCTGGGGGCCCGCGCGGGGCCCGGGACCTTCAACGAAACGACTCGGCATGAAAACCTGGCCCAAGGGAAAGGGTCAAGACCTCCGGGGGCCCACGCTGCGAAAAGGACGACGTCGGGGGTCTGGGGACAAGTCGAAGGATGCCAGCTGGCACGAGAGCGAGGCACGGCCCTGGCGTCGGAGGTTGGACACAGGCCCCACCTTTTGAGCATCCTTCGATGCTGGGTTCCGACGTTCTGCCGAAGGGTGGGGGGGTCTGGGTCCAGACGGGTGGGCCCAGGGATGGGGGAGGGTTGGGGCCCCGCGAAAGAAGACATACACCCATCTTAATTTTGTTAGAAAGGCACGAACTGCCATGGGCTCCAGATTCCGCTTCAGAGAACCAAGGATCTGCGCTGGACCCTGGGCGTTTTCTTGGAGCTTCTTTCTTCGTAGAGCGTTCGCAGATCTGGACCTGGACTAGTGTTTAAGAAAACGCTGTGTGTGTGCAGTCTATTTGCTTAGCCTAAGCTGTTAGCTCCAGGCAAGGGTGTACAAAAACAGCTACCCTGCCAAGTCGATATGCGGATTGCGTTTTTTCGGTTCTCGGGAGGGCTGTGTGGCCGCGGTTGGGCGGGCCTGCGTCCGCAGTGTCTGGTCCTGGGTCGCTTTCCCGAGAGGGTGCTTTGCGAAAGGGAAGTCTGTCCACCCCAGACAGTCCTCGAGTAGGAAATCGACTTCAGAATTGCTTTGCCCCCAACATAGGCACGTTCGTCGAGCATAAGGAAATGCAGAAAATCTGTGTTCGACGACGAACATGTTAATTTCAGGCCTCATCAATTATGTAGTCGACTTCCTAGTTGAAGCCTAGGAGGGGTACCCTCATGGTCTTCGTGTTTGGGCTAGGGCTTTTGGCCTGCGGCGCAGGGGCTCGTGCTCTCGACCAAAGTTCCCGTGGCCACGTTTCGACTGTAGCTCTCTGCGGCGCCTCTGGCGCCGCCCCTGGCGCACTCCGCGCGCCAGGGAGGAAAGTCCAGCGGTGCTCCACGAAAGCCGCACAAACCTCCGAGAGTTGATGTGGTCAACCTCCTTGGCTGCGCGCCGCATCGCGCAGCTGCCTAAGGTTGAGGTGCCCGACTAAGCCGGCCCCTTGCTCGGGCGCCGGCGGCCGCGCCGTTTCGCCCTCTGTCCGCGAGTCAAAAAACTCGCTGTCTGGCAATGCCGCCAAGCCTGGCCGGGCCGCACAGTACGTACCCTTCCCTGTGGCTCGGGCCCAGGGCAAGGCTCAAAAGTTGGTGGCGCGCCCAGAGTGTCAGAGCGCGGGGGGGCGCACCTCTCTCTGAGAGGGCACGGGGCTTCTCGGAAGAAATCGGCCCCTCCCAGGGTCCTCTGGCGCCCCCTCGCCTGGCATCCCGCGCGCCGCCAGAGGTGGTCCTCCTCCCTGAGAGAGGCGTCTCCCGGTCCGCTCTTGTCGGACGTGATGCGCTGTCGCGTCGGGCTCGGAGCCCACGCCTCAGTATCCACTAAAGCACCCCAGCCCGACCCGAAGGCCCCCAGTTGTTCTCCATTCCCAGTGTGGGGGGGGCATCCGGAACAGCTGAGACACACAGACGGAGCCCGTACCCCCCTCCCCACCCCCGTTTTGTGACTTCGGGTTGAGTTGGTCAGCCACGCGCAGAGGGGGGTGGGGGGAGGGGGGAGGGCTTCTTAGTTGCACCCAAGCTTCTTGGAACTATAGATGCAAGCAAGGCCGGCGCCTTCTAAGAAGCAGCCTCCCTCTAGGAAGCCCTCCCCCCTCCCTCCACCCCCTCGTGCGCGCCGCCAAGCTGGGGGTGGTCTGGTAGACAGCCGACGCCAGCCCCGGGGGCGCGAGGACCATCACGCCTCAGGCATCTCGGCCTGGGCCGGAGAGACGGCGCCCTCCTCCTGGTCGGCAGCGCGAGGAGGGGGCCCGAGGATCGCCGAGAGCCGCGCACCTCGGGTCGCGAGGCGCGAAGTTTTGGGCGGCCTCGAACGCGAGAGCGAATCTTCGGGGGTTGCTAAAGGTGCCCCTGGCTGTAGGGTACCCCCAGCTTTTCGCTCAATTTTGGAGCCCTTGGGGCCATCTGGGCCTCGTGAGGGGTGCTCTGGAGGCCGTGGGGGCCTCTTTGGGAATCCTGGGGGCACATTGGGCCAGGGGCACTTCTAGCAACACCCGGAATCTCGAAGGGCAAGCGAAGCCCGACGCTTCCGCGCCAGGACTCGCGTTCGCTCTCGCTGTCGCGGCGGTCGGGCGGGCGGTAATGGGGGTGACCCACATGGGGGGTGAAGAAAAAGAGGCCTCAAACCATTTTTTTAGAGACGACGATATGGGCGAATAGCCCAGGGGAGAGCAATACATGTATCCAGGGGCGCCGATGATCTATGTCTTCGACAAGGCTCCCGGACGAATGCGTGTAATGCCCGCCCCTGGGCTATTCGCCCTTATCGTCGCCGCCGATTAGCCCCTTTGGGGCACCAGCTAGCTACAAAAGGGGCCCTCAAGGGTCCCTTCAGAGCCGTTTCCCTCCCCCCCCCCCATTACCACCCGCCCGAGGCGGGCTCGTCCAGCCGCGAGCATCGCCCGCCCATGCCATCGGCCCCCGGCCCCTGGCGCCGTGATCTGCCGCGCCGGGCGCCCCCCCTCCTCCTCTCCTCCTCCTCCTCCTCCTCCTCCTCCCTCCTTCCTCCTCCTCCTCCTCTCCTCCTCCTCCTCCTCCTCCTCCTCCTCCTCCTCCTGCCCCTCCTCCTTCTCGACCTGGGCCCGCGTGCTGACCGTCCTGCAGGGGCCCCAGGGCCAAAGAAGCCTGCAGCAGGACCGCGGAACGGGCGTCGCAGTGCTGGCTCTGGCTCGCGGGCGCCCGGAGGTCCCCGCCACTGCGGGTCCAGGCTCCGAGGCCACCGCATGGGGATCGCTCTGCGGGGGCTTCGGCAGGCGGTTGACGCAGTCATTCGCCGGGGGGCACACATATCCATGTCCACCGCCTGCCGAGGTCCCAGAAGATCGATCGCCCAGGCGGTGGTCATGGATGATTTCCCGCCTCGCACAATCGACGCTGGGGTACTGGGCCCTCCCGTTGAGGGGCCACGTGGCTGCAGACATCCTTCACATTCTGAGCCTCGGCCGGTTTTTCAGGAGTCTGGCCTGCAGGGGTCGGGTTCTGTGGTTCGGGCCGAACGAAGGAGGGGAATAGGGAGGGGGGGGGGGGTACGAAATCTGCTGCATGCAGCTGGTTTCGGCCCCGCCGCCGGGCGCATTTCTCGAAACATGGGCGCCTCCCGGCGCCAGGAGGCGCTGGGAAAATCAGCCACGTGAGCTGACTCTCTGCCCTGCCCTTTGCTATCCCCCCCCTCTCGTTCCGCCAACCGGGGCCTGCTGCTGGGCATGCCCCCAGCGTCGGTGCCAGTCCCCGCCTCGGGCGGTGCCGAGAGGACGACGAGGAGGACGAGGACGTGAAGGCTGCCGCTGGCGGCGCCTGATGCACATAGGGGCAACCAGCTCCTCCCTCCCTGGCTCGGCTTCTGCCCTCCCTCGAAGGATCGGGGAAACGTAAGACTGGAGTAAGCCGGAACTCGGGTGAGCCGACCGTTTTTGACGAGCGCGTTCTGGATTTTGACGGTCCCGTTTTCGTGGGATTTCTGCAGCGGGAGCCCGCGTCAAATTTCTGATTGGGTCTCGTCTTTTTTATGATGCCCCCCCTCAGGCCAACCCGAGTCCCCCGTACCCGAGTCTTACGTCTCCCCGATCGAAGGAGAAGGAAAATCTGCACGAGCAGAGCCGTTCGCAGGTCCGCGCGGATTTCCTGGATCGGAGCCGGATGCCCTGCCAGCACTGCCCCTGGCGCACTCCGTGTGCCAGGGAGGGGGGCCCAGCGTCGATCCGAGAGGTCCGCGCAGACATCGCGCACGCTTCTTTGATGGTTGCGCAGGCTTCCCAGATTCCACTCCCACTCCCCACTCCCGCTCCCTCCCCCATCTTCCCACCTCCCCTCCCGGTCTGCCTCCCCCCCTCCTCGGCCACTCTCGCCTCGGCCCGAGCCGCCCTCGCCGGCCCTCTTCCATCCTCGCTGTCCTCGCTCGCCGCCCCACTCACCATCCGAGTCTCGCTCATCCCCGCGACGCTGGTGCACTGGCCCCTGCTGGCTACTCAGGCTGGGGCGCGAAGTACAGACGCACCAGCAGCGCGAAGAGCGAGGCAAACGCCGCCTCTGTTTGCTCATTCCTACGCCTTCTCCTGAGTATCATCACCCTGCTCATCCTGTTCGTTCTTCTTTCAGAGAGCACCGAGACGCTGCGAGCGGCCGCGGTGCACTTCATTCGGGGCGAGGGTGTTCGCCTGCATGAGACAATGGTCTGCCGTCTTGGCGCTGGGCCTCAAAGGGTGGGAGGAGGGCCAGCTGAGACGGCTCTCCCGCTCGGCCACCATCCGTCCCAAGTCGGTTCCCAGACTACCTCCGAAGCCCATCTTGACCGTTTCTCGAGGCTGATCCGGTCCGAGAAAATCACACGGGAAGGCCGCTCTGTGAAAAGCCCTGCCAGGTCCTCCTACGCAGGAGACCCGCCTTGCTGTATAGTGAAGGCAGCCGCCGGCGCCAGGCTCACCTGATCTCGCACAGGCTTCGGTGTAAAAATCTCACGAGAAGGCAGCCGCCGTCTCGTTTGGCCCTCCTCCGACAGGAAGTTTACCTGCCATCACGAGGACGAAGCAGCGGCATAATCATCAACTTTCGGAGCTCTGCCCGGATTTATTGGATCGGAGCTGGACCCCCTGGCGGCGCTTCCAGCCCCGCCCCAGGCGCACTCCGCGCGTCAGGGAGGGGTGCCCAGCGCCGATCCAAGAACTCCGCGCTGAGCTCCGACAGTTTATGTTGATGGCGTTTTTATGTTTCTAGTCGTTCCCAGTCCGATCCTCGTCCTGCTTGTATTTTTTTTCGAATTGAGCGATCACGCCGCGAGATGTTGCGGTGCACCTCATTGGGGGCGAGGGTGTTCGCTTCCACGCGGCCGTGCATCTTGAAGCGCTGGGCCCGAACGGCTTCTCCCCATCCTCCTCATCTCGAAGAAGAAGAAGACAAATAATACGAATAGTACGAATAATCATAATCATAATCTGCATAGGAATGACCGGTCGGAGGTCCGCGCGGATTTCCCCTGGCGCGCTCCGCGTGCCAGGGAGGGGATCCAGCGCCGATCCAATCCGCGCGGACCTGCGAAGGCTTCACGTTTTTGCCGATGCCACTACCCCTATCAGCCTGCTCCTGCCCATCCTCCGCATCCCGTGCATATCCGGTCGTGGATCGCACAGCGAAGAAGATAAGAGCCATAAGCATAAATTGTCGGAGGTCCGCGCGGAGCTCCGAAAGTTTATGTTTGTATCGTCGCTTGCTCCCCTATCCCCACCTCCCCACTGGATCACAGGCGCTGGCGCTGGTTAGGCCCATGCCGGCTTCTCAGGCTGGGTACAGGAGCACCGCCAGCGCGAACAGGGAAAGAGAACCTTCCACAACCTCGGTCTGCTCCTCGTCCTCCTCCCCTTTTCGTGGCACCCTCTCCCGACGAGGGACGGTCCTCCTCCTCCTCCTCCTCCTCCTCCTCCTCCTCTCCTCCTCCTACTCCTCATCCCCCTCCTTACTCCTCCTCCTCCTCCTCCCCTTCCTTCTCCTCCTCCTCCTCCTCCTTCTCCTCCTTCTCCTCCCCCTCCTCTTCTTCCTCCTGCTCCTACTACTACTACTACTACTACTACTA